TTGGGAGGGGGGTGAGAATTGGGGTTTTATTAAAGGAAATTGAGAAGAATGGAGGTAATGTTTAATCCGAGGTTGCTAACCCACTTCGAATACAGTTCATTCATTTGCTTAAGTATTCAAGTAGGTATTTATTCATCAGATACCGCACTGATTTACCGAAGTGTCCGGGATGATTTCCTCTGTGTCGTTTCGATTTCAGCGTGCCAATTCTTTATGCGTTTTATTTTTACGTGCCCAAGTTTGTTTCCCTAAACCACCAATATAATGGGTAAGGGTGAAATTTGCATGAAAAAAAAGCCATAATGAGCAAATTTCCCCTTTTTCTGGCAGAGCGGGCGACCAATACTGCTGCTGATAGTGTCTTTAAGTACCGGAATTTGAGGGCTTGGTACAGCAAAAATGCAAAATTTGCATTGAGCGGTGGTCCAGTTACAGCATGAACGCCTAGTGCGGGTATCTAGTGATACTTCTGGAATCACTGACGGATCCGCTCTCCCCCCTCCGATCGGCGCATGTAGCAGTGCTGAAACTGTAGAAAACTCTCGCACTTCTGGTCGTCCCCCTCCTCCTCGGGAGCCTTACTTCACCCCCTTCTCTCAATCGTTGACAAGGTCGTCGCTACACCATAAGCCGTCTGTGCCTGGGATATTCTCAGATGCCGGCGTAGCTATGCCAGATTCTTCGATTTTGGGTTGTGTACCTCCAGTTGGTACCCACCGCATACTCGATCTTGTACATATACAAGAAATTCCGGAATAAACATGGAATTTTTTCGGAAAACAGCGCTGAACACCTGGTCTTCTCAATGACGACAGATGGACTGTATAGTCAGCAGAATTTTTTTACTGGTCTTGCTCAGTGCACTTTTCTGTATTCGTGCACTGGTGCAATGATTTGTTTGACCTGACGAGGTCAGGTATCCTTATTTACGAAGTTGAACTTTTGACCTCTACTCTGGATGCTCTTCCCAGAGAGTTAGTGCTCTTTTCTGTCCTCCTCTGGTCATCCCAAGTAGAATACGACAGCTTTTCTACGTATATCAGCATGTACTCTCCGATTTTGCATCGAACTCTATGTGAATTATTATTTTCTGTTCTGTGGTGCTGTGTATAAATTTTTGGAAGAATTGCGGTTTTGTTATGGTGAACATCAGGCGGCACGAACTGCTCCGCTTCTGTGTTTCTCTGACACTTTCATACCTCAGGTTGCAAGGGCTTAAGAGGAAATCGTCCCCCTGAGAAAAGGATAAGAAATTTAAGTTGCAGGATCGTAATAAGGCAGGGGGGACTGGGATATTTATTAGGAAAGGAGCTGAGATCTTGCTTGGAGATAGAAACTAAAAATAGGGA